AAAAATGTATTTTTAGAGCCATGAAACGTAGAATTAATCATGTTCTTCAAATACAGCAACATTTGTAAAATCTTTACCCTCAAAACCTCTAATGATTATGCGTATTACATAATATAATTTTGTTTGTGGAACGCTCCTGCTGCTATAATTTACGTTAGACGTATTTATAATCGGTTATTTTATTTGGCTTCGTCCCTGCCAGTTTTTGCAGATTCTGGGCACCAACTCTGAACCAACCTAATACTAATTATAAAATCCCATAAAAGCCCAATTTATAGTAAAATCCTGTTTTATTATTAATTCTTAGTGGGTTATCATAAGAATGATGAGCCTTCTATACAAGAGTGTTGGGTGGCCAAATTTATCATTTTGTGGATTTGACAGTTTCCACCATCGCAATGAAGGCGAAGATATGAAGCAGAATTTCAGCACCATCATAGTCCACTTCGACTCCAATACCTGCATAAAGTATCGCAGAGAAGTGCTCTACACCTGGGATCAGGTACTAGGTTAGTATCTATTGTTTGTTAGTTTTAGTTTTCAAATACTTATAATATGAAATGTGATACACATCTGCTTTTGTACCTACGCCCCATTGTTATGCTTGAAATCGGGTATTCGTGTAGCCCATACGAGCGAAACCGTGGGCGCAGCTACTGATGTACCTAGTAAAGTATAACGTTTTGTTTTTAGTCTCGGCCCTCGCGGAATGTATTAAATATTTATTATTATTTTTAATTAGTTGTATTAAAAACTTTCTCTATTGGCTTTTTATGAACAAAGTCCACGAAACTTTGATTGAACTTTGTTTCTTTTAAGAGATTCGAAGTTTCTGTACAAAAATGTTTACGGGACACAAAATAATTTTTTTTTTTATTTCAGCGAACCTAGGTGGAATCTTTGGTTTATGTCTTGGAGGATCTATAATAAGTATCATTGAGATAGTTTGGTTTATTCTGGATTTACTTTTGACTCTAATTGTAAAGGCCTCGAAAAGAAAAGTTCGTGCAAGAAACAACCAGAAACGTATTTTTGCTTTGGATAATAAGGAATTTAAAGTAAAAGGTTAAAAAAATAAAAACACGTTAAGTACCCAGAGTGTGCATTCATGTAAAATGTTTTATTTTCAAGCACCGGGCACGAGTTTTGCACAATGGGAATGAGCTTTAGTGGGTATTTATTCATCAACTGCCGAATTGAAAAAAATAATCGACGAGACTTTTTCATATCGTAAAAAGACAACATTGTTCTACGTATGCGTTTGTCAAGTACATTACTGTAAGGAAAGTTTCGCAACGTTGCTGGAAACAGCTGGCGCCATCTACCGTCGACCTTCATTAGAACTGCAGTGAATAACTTTACAACAGTCATGGTTTCGTCCTTATGATGTTTGAATTACGATCACAAAGATGGCGCCGAGTGTAAAAAGCGAGATAAACCACAGAGCCACAAATACTTAGTTGATATTCAAAATTTTTTATGTACGAAGTTTAAAACTATCTTAGTAAGGCTCTTGCGAAATGCGTGAAGTTTGTTGACAACTTCGTGCAGCGGACGTCACTTAATTACGACTTCACGCATTACCTGCAATCGTGCAGTCAATCTGTTAGCAGCCTAATTTTTTAATAAATAAATATAATATATTTTACTGTTACATCGTTAAGCAAACAACATAACATCATTGGCAAAAAACTTGTTGTGTTAGAGATTTCAGTAGATACGCAAGAAACTCTTTCTTTGTATTAATACTTTTTATAAAGTTGCAATGCGTCCAGTTACTGCGTTTTAGCGTGAAAAATTAATTCAAAATTGAGAAGCGTAGTTTCAACCGTCTGTTGGTGAATATCTATTCCGATCATTTCTTTCTTTATTATACTCATGTTCTTGCACGCACTTGATGATTAATTACGTAACATTTTTCTACAAAATATAATTTAAAAAACAGTACATAATATATTTAAAATACATTAAATTTAAGGTATGTGCATTTATGCAACCAGCTGATACGTAAACAACAAAACGGTTACGCGGTTAAGTCAAGACGTACTCAAGTCGTAGAACTAAAAGTCGTGCTATTGTATTGTTAGTCTTCAATTTCGAAATTTCTATTAGCTGTTCTGATTGTGTCCTCTATATGCATTTATAAATAAGACGATCTCTGTGGCCCAATGGCTTGTACTGTGGGCTGTGAATGAGACGAGGCCCGGATTCTATTCCCGGTAGTGTGCCCCAGAGCGCCCTTCCTCTGGTACTCATTATACAGTGAAGTCCCTAATTTCAGACCTGGGAATTCGTGTGGATTATTGTTATTATTAAAAATAGGGAAAACAAAATGTGAGGACTTAATAGGAGGCACGGTTAGCAATTCACTTCTTTTTCCTGATGGCTAAAGCACTGCCGCTTAATTGTACTTTCAAAAACAAAATGTAAAATTTCAAGCAACTTGTTTTTATTCGCAAGGATGTGAGCTCATAATTTTACTTGTTCTTATTTACTCCACTAATCTGTCGTTGTTGTTACTCCGCTTATAATTTTGTTAAACGTGAATTAGTAATAAGTGTGAATGCAAACGAGTATAAAATGCAATATTTCTTTATTTAGATTTCAAATAATTATACATGTATACATCATAATAGTATTTGTACATTCATATTGTGTAGTATTTTAAATTAGTAATTTCTTTTTACATACAGATACATTTATGAACATCCTTCTGAATTTACGCAAAATATAAAAAAAACATATAATTCTATATAATTTTCTATACAAAAATTAATAGTATTAGTGCTAATTTCACAATTAAAAATGTGTGGCTGTGGTTATAAACTATTCCTAGTTCATAACTGTAGCTCTGTTTTCTCAAAATAGTTCTAATAATAGTTTACTAATAAGGATTGAGGACCGTAATCCAGTCTCTCGATATCTATAACTCAGAAACCATTAATTGACTTAGAAATTGAAATACAATTTATACAAATAAATTGTAAAATATAAAACAAATACAAAAATAAAAAACACTTTCGGGAAAATTGTAGGTCTGAGCATCTGAATGCAGTGTCCTAAAGTCATTAAAATTATAACGGTTATTATTTAAAAAGTGGTGTGTAAGAGTGGCTGGCTAAAGGTTAGTACAGGTAACTACTTCTGCTGTCCCATACAAGGAATTGATCCTTTCATGAAACTGAGTCGATTATCACAAAAAAATTTTGATCAATAGGAAATGAAACTATTTTTCCTGATTTAAATCGCGTGTATTTGTTTTTTCAAACAAACCAACGTTTCGGGCCCTTTACAGGTCCTGAAATATTTTGATCAATTTTACAAATTCTTATGGTCAAGCGTGACCAAATTTGTTTTCACAAAAAATATTTAGTGATTCCATGCGTCTTCTATGGTTTTGTATTTCGACACACTGTCCCATTAAAAAAAACACTCTGTATGTAGTCAAAAACAATCTGGACTATGAATTAACAAATACATTAAACACATCTATTACAACACAATAATACTACCAGCATATCAAGAATGTTCCAAAAACGCTCATTTAATGAAGTAATCCATTGCAGGAGTGCAACTCTGTCTACATAGACCTTTTGATAGCAGAGAACCCATTGTCTCCGCTTACAAAATTTCAGTTACTCGTAAATTAAGTTACTACCTGCCCGACGTTGAACTGGCACTAAGACAAAAATACGCTTACTTTTTCTTAAAATCCTATCTTACTAACGATTATCAAATTTGTCATATTCATGAAATTTAGTCGCTACTCTAGAAACCAGTGCTTATAATTATACAGATTCTCAGGTTTACACATTCGAAGTAATAATACATGTTATCTAAATATAAGGTATTAAAAAGTATATTATTAAAATTGTGCTTATAACATGACTAGACATTACTAATGTACATAATGTGACGTAGTAAATTCCCTGTATTATAAGATGTATTGGTTTTTGCAAATATAGCAATGATTCCGCAGTATTCATGTGTGTGTACAAAAAATTTAATCATGTTTTTGAACGCTCTGGTTCATATATTGGACATGAGTTGTTCAAAACTTCATGAAGGAGATAATCTCAGTACAGAGTACTATAAAACCGACCTCACAAGTTCGTGGAATTACATCTATTTGCAAAGTTTGATAGAAATCGATTACCGGAAAGTGCGCGAAACCAGATTCAATCCCTATTTTGCCATCCTTAGAGGTGAAATATTTTCATCAACTTTAAATGGGACCACTACCGAGGTGCCGTCTTTCCAACAAAAAAAGAATAGTCAAATTTTATTCCGGGGTTATCGCGTAACACACAATAAAATATAGTCGAACTGATAACCTCCTCTTTTTTTGAAGTCGGTAAAAAGAAAAGTTCCTTTTGATAATATTATAACTTTTGATAATGTTGTAACTCGAAACCTGTGTAAGCTGCATATTAGAGAACAAAAACTGAGTTTTTGGACTTAGTATCTTGTACTTCATAAAAAAATTAAAACAAGTGCATTTAGAAGCGCCTGGTAGACTGGGTTTTACGATTTAACAGATTAGCGTCATGGTCTCTGGTACAACCTCTGTTGTTCTCTGATTCTGGTGTTTAGCAATACTTAATAAAATCTCGTCTCTTGGTTGATATACGCGTCGATACCACCTCAAATGGCTTTGGTTGATGCCGCGTAACAGTGATACTCGTAGTGTTGGATCAATATATAGTAAAATCGAGGATATGCACTGATTGGTATATGGTCTGAAAACACAGTTCCTAAAAATTTTCACGATAGAAAAAAACACAAACTTACCACGAAATTTTACGAGAAAATCTCTGTATTCAATATGTACTTAACATATACCAATGATTTTTTTATATCAACTGAACTAAATGGAATACATATAGTATACTAAATACGTTTTTCAAATTGTTTCATTTCTTTTGTAGTAAAATAAATTATGAAATAAAGACAGTGTCCCTGGCGCTCGACCCGCGCAATAGAGCCCTGAAGGGTACTAGAAAATTTTGAATTTGAGCTGAGATGGTATCGACTCGTAGGGACTTCTGTTTTGAATTCGATTTTGACCGAGTTTATTTAGTCTCTCTCTCGTAGGTTTCCACAACTGATTTCCTCATCATTTTATTCGCTACACCAACACTTAATAATAACTTTTGTATACTATGGCCATTCTTTTTATTTATTCCATTTAATTGTTTGGCAGTCGATGATAGCAATAAGCGAACTCAATGTGTTTTGGTCTTTAAAGAAACTGAGCCGGCTTATGATATCGGTGGTCTCTCCACCCACTGTCCCTGTAAGAGGTGGCCCTCTGGACTCTCCCGTACTGAACGCTCGGTGTGCTGCGAAGGTGGTTGCTGCTGCGGAAAGTCACCGTCGTGCAGGTTCTCATACTAGACGTGTTGGATTTTTGACGTAAGCCTTGCATCTGTTGAATGAAGTCGTTAATAAGTAATTAATTATCCTAATCGTTAAATAACCTGTGCACGCCAGTCGCTTATTAGCTGATATAGGGTGTTCGGGATAGAAACAAACCTAGCTGTCGGTGGGATCCTGCAGAGATATTTGAGCTACAAGCAAAAATACTATTGACGTCTTTCTGTGCATGTTTTCGTATAAATTTTTTACTGCAATTTCTTGTGAAAATAAATTATTATTTGCTTCAACGGGTGAAGGAAAATATTACACAAAGAAAACACAGGAGTTTCAAAAACTTTTCAACCACAATTATACATCCGTCATCAATCAGCCATCGACTTGCGAGGATCTCGTTCCTTACAATTTTTTAGAGAACACAAGCCCATCTATAGGAAAATACAGAACATGTAACTCTTTATCATTTGTGATTTATATTTTTTCTCAAACATGCGCAGAAATGTTTGCATTACTTTCTAAAAACGAACACGGAAAGTTTGTCATTTATGGACCATGCGACTTCTTCCCGGCCAAGGCCTGCAAAGTATGAAAATCCATTACTGTCCTCTCCTCTAAACTTTTAAATCTACCTACTAATAATGAACTACATAAACAGGCAAGAGAAAAACTCATACAGCCAACTACCCAGTGTTCATAATTGCGAGAATTAAAACAACCTACCTGTATCGCTTTTTAAAAAAAAAGAAATTGGCGGTAACATTTATACTAAAGTGTTTTGGTATTTGTTTTTTCAAACAAACCAACGTTTAGGGACCTATAGTGCGATTCATGTAAGTTCAAGCTATTAAAATATCGTTGAAGTTATGTAGTCGTTCGATCGAAGTCCTGTCCAAAATTGGTATTCACGTATCACTTGAACGAACGTCATGATAGATTAGATAGAGATTATATGAATAGAATCGAAACGTAACGACTAATGAACGACATCTTGGATTGTGAAATTTGACGTTTAGTCGTCGAAAGTCTTTTGAAAGAACTGGCAAAATTTGAGCAGAATACGTATGACATGTCGTTTAGAGTCGATTCAAGTTCGATTTATATACCAGAACGACATTTGGATCGAACGACTTTAAAATTGGACTCGTTGACGTTCACTGTCACACGTGAATACGAAGAAGTAGTTCAAAGACTAAAATTGAAAAACAAATATACGCGATTTAAATCCGGAAAAATAGTTTCATTTCCTATATTTTGGTATTCTTTTGTTTTTTCGTCTTTTTTTGCATTTTGGTCGCGAAAATGAGTGCTGGTAAGAAGAGCAATAACGAAATTACAGGAATAGATATTTTCAAACAAATCATCAGAAGTTCAACAGACTTCTATTATTACTTTTTCTATTATACATCTCCCTCTCTTTAGTCTTTTATTATTTCCTCGCATTGTTTGAGATTTTTTTTATATATAATATCAAGTGACGGGACGAACAAGTCGTGCGCCTGATGGTCATCAACACGCCTGTCCATAACAGTTGCAGTGCCACTCAGAGCTTTAAATCGCAAAGATTTGAGGGGCACTGCCACTGCGCCCGTCACCCTGAGATATAAGTGGACAAGTCCCATGTGCCTGTAATTTCACCAGCACCCTTACCCTTCAAAACCGGAACACCGTAATGCAGACATTACTGCTTGGCGGCAGAAATGGGTAAGGTGGCAGTACTTCCCTGAACGAACTCTTTCACAAGGAGCTCTACTGCTACTGGATAGATTTTGTACATGCCTCGTCGGGAACGGGGATTGCTTGACTCTTTATTTTTACTCTTGTTTAATACAAGATGTCCTTACTCCTGATTAATACAAGGCGTCCTTGTAACTCATACTCGTCCAGCAATCCCTTACGTCCCGGCCTCTGCGATAATGTACCATACCGTGTAATCAGTTCTAATAATCAAATTATTTATCAAAAATTATTGAATTTTTATAACATATAGTTGATGACGCGAATTATGTCGCGATTTAGTGTTAGTTTAATAAATTTAAGCATTAATAAATTTAGTCTGTTATGATACCTAAGAGTCGGGAACTAACACGGCAGTACAGGCATCTCAAATGAAGGCCAGATATCAGGCGTCTGCTGGGAGTGCACTGGTTGGTCGGCAATACAGTTGGTAAGTTTGCACAATGTTTATTACTAATTTAGATACAGTATTTGTTGGCTAGACAGCCTGAAGATAGAGTACGACGAATCAGTAACAGAATTAGAATGAAACCGCCACTTGAACTAAAGGTATAAGGGGGCGTGAAGTGATGGCAGAGGAAGGGCTGCAGGGGTGTGTGTGGAGGCCCATCATAGAGATTAGAGGATCCCACTAGTTCAGATCCAGAGGATCGATATGAGGTCAAGGACCTATTAGGACAATTATAGTAGTCCTATGAAGTAGAATGGAGTGAGAATAAGTCTAATGGAGAAAGATACTCTATTTAAAATTGTTGTGGTAGAAAGAATGTCGCATATGTAATTTACATTATGATTAAACCTTAGGCGTGGCGACAGTTGATGTTGGATAACTAAAATGGTTTTTAATAAAAATCTAATGGAATTTGTTTTAAGCATCACTAATGAGTGTTAAAACTGTTAGTTTTGCATGAGTAGCACCCTAACGAGGCCCGTCCGGTAAACTAAAATTCTAAAGTGAAAAAGAATATAAATATAAAGAAGAAATCTAAATTTTAAATTAAAATATTATTAATATTATTATATTTTTTTTATTTTTATTTTTTTTGTTATGTAGTCCAATTAGTAACTTTTCCATTAAGGAATTTGATGTTATAACATGAATTATAGCAGTCACAACTCTTCAGGTAGCTGTATCTACAGCAAAATTGAGAGACAATTTTACACTAGGTTTATATGCGACTAGACATGCACACACATGTATTTCGGAGCACAAAGTTAGCAATTTTTGTTTACGGAATCGAATTAGTCGCATTAAGTCTTTTACTGTACCTTCGTTTCTATCTTTTACGATAAGAACACAAAACTATTGAAATTGAATTGAACTAACTACAAAGCGCAGAAAAGCGCCACTAACTACCACCAAGCATTGTACGACAACGAAAAAGAAATAGAAAGAAAAAGCTAAGGTGGACTTACATGGAAATGAGTACTAGAGTGCAAGTTACCGGTGTCGTGGCAGAGAAGCTTGCGCAAGGACCGGCGGAAGTTGCGCGTCATCAAGCAGTACACTATTGGGTTTATCGCAGAGTTCGCGTGACCTGTAAATAGAAACATTAATACAATTCATTCTAATAATCAAAATAAAATGACCAAAGTAGAAACAGACTGGAAAAAAAAATAAAAACCATACAAGTGCAAATCGGTCTTGCGCAATTAGTATTACGTATAGTGCTGTGACACCGCGTATTCCTGCGTAGCTGTACCACCCGCGTATGTTACTAGAAGGCATATCAAAAAATGCAATGCAAAAAGCGACATATTAAACATAATTGAGTGAAGTTCTCATTACGTTCATCTTGAGAATTGTACGTTGAAACTTGAGTATTAATGTTACTACGAAAGTCTGTAGATTATATTTTTATTCATTACTTCTTAACTACGATGAATATTTTTAAAGCCAACATGAAAAAAGAAAGGAAACGATAAGATAATATTAAAAATAGTACAAAAAGGATGGTGGAACTTTTTAAGAGTTCGACGCAAGATCTCTCCAGCGGTCTGTGTGTCGGCGACACGCACAGGTCCGTCGGCCACGGAACATGCCGGCTATGATGCCCGAGGCCATGTACTTCTCGGGGAGTCTCCATCGGCGACGAGCACGGGGTCTCCATCGGAATATCGGAACCCTGAATACGTCGCGGAGCTAGAGTCGGCAAGTATTCGCTGACCCAGCGCCACCAGAAAAAGTCCGCTAATCTCACGGCTCTGCGACATCCACTTCTGCTGCATAGATCACGACGACGACCAGAGGACGAGCCGAGCAGCATGTGCAGTGAAGTCAGCGCCTCTGGCTCAGCTGGGTCAGTTGAGACATGTGAGAGTGGCCGCGCGTTTACTCCTGCCTCAGCTTCGGACTCTTGTCCGTCACAAAGACTTCATGCGTATGGACTCGTTCCCGAAGCGTAACTTTGAGACCCGTCTTTATGTTTTTCATCAGACCACATGTTACTTACTACAAAGGATTTATATTTTTATGAAAAAACGGTTGCATATCGTACCAATGAAGTACGATAAGTAATAATAATAATAACACACACACTCAACATAGCCCCGCACTAGGGAAACCCTGTATTGCGGGTGCCATGCGCACACACATAGATAACCACAAAATACTACCAAACTCACGAGAGAAATAAATATAGGCCATACATAGGCCATACGAATATTTCGCCCGGCCCGGGAATCGAACCTGGGACCTTTGCGTGGCAGTCTGGCATGGTAACAGTTCGGCCACAGAGACAGTTATATAAGTAAGTACTACATATTTCTAAAACCAACAAGAAAAAAAAAAGGAAACCAAAGCAATATTAAAAATAGTACAAAAAGAATGGTGCTGTCGTACACGACCAATAAGATATATTCGGGTATTATTAATCTTAGTTCTTACCTAAGAGTAAAGTATACGGCAGCACGATCGCCATGGACTCAACTTTCACGGCGTTGACGTCAATTAGCAGTTGCAGGATGTTATACGGCAGCCAGCAGAGTGCGAAAAGAACTGCCAGCAGGAGCAGTATCCACGCCACTCGCTTCCTCTCGCGTACCAGTCGAAGGCGCTGGCGAGAAGTAGCAGATAGAATTAGCACACTTTGGAGTTACGAATGTTTTCAATAAACTAGATGCCTTTTCTTTTAGCAGCAGTAGAGCTCCCTGTGAAAGAGTTCGTCCAGGGAAGTACTGCCACTTTACCTGTTTCGGCCGCTAAGCAGTAATGTGAGCATTACTGCGTTCCGGTGAAATTACAGACCCATGGAACAAGTCAATTTTTATCTCAGGGTAACTGGCGTTGTGGCAGTGCCCCTCAGATCTTTGTGATTCAAAGGTCTGAGTGGCACTGCATGTGTTATGGACAAGTGTGTCCCTAGGCGCTATACTTGCTATTATCAGGCGCACGACTTGTTTATCTCGTCACTTGGAATTGTAAAAAAAAACTGATATCTATATCCCATCGCACATTTCGCCATCAGTGTCAATGGCATAAAAAAAATGTTTTCTAACCAAATCAAATCAAATCAAATCATTTATTTGCATGTCACAGTTACAGTACATTTTTAAATACAATTTAAGGTGTTATGTCATTGTATAGGATCATGTGACGCCCTGTAAGCATGGCAAATTACAGAGGGGCATTTATAAATTATACTAACAAATTTTTATCAACAATGTCAATGTATGCATTAAATTCGTTATGATGTTAATACGTACTTAAGCTATCAATAATTCAGTATTAAAAAAAAATATAAATAAATAAATAAATAATAAATAATAAAAAATAACAATTCATAAAGATATCAACATTATCATATTTATGGAATGAAAAGTATTTACAAAATAAAAATAGGTAATAGTCTTAATATTATTAAATAAATGTCAAAGGCAATTTCATAATATAATTTTAAATAAATTTTAAATAAATTTTAAATAAATTCCAGCAATGTCGTATTATTATTATTATTATTATTCCTCCAAATATTTATCACAGAAATATTCATTTATATTGTAATAGCATTTTTCAATTAACAGCTTTTTCAATGTTTTATCAAAGTCAGTGTCTTTTACTATGTCTCTAATGTTAATTGGTAGATTGTTGTACAATTTTATAGTCATATAATGAGGACTTGAGGCCACTAGTTGCAGATTGGTAAGGGTAGTTTCTAATTTGTGTAGATTTCGATTATTCCTTTTTACGGTTCTTATTGTCGCATAGAGATTTTTATGTTTTCTTACAAATTTACAAGACTCGAGAATGTATATTGAAGTTACAGTGAGAATGCCATGTTTTATAAAGAGAGGTTTGCATGATACCATTTGGTTGACGTTTGTTAATATTCTAATACACTTTTTTGAAATGTGAAAATATCTTTAATATCTGAACTGTTACCCCACAAAATTATTCCGTACGAGATTATCGAATGAGCATAAGCATAGTATGCCGACAGAGAAGTTTCAAAATCGGTTACTTTTTTCAAATTTCTTAGAGCATAAATGAATGACGACAGTTTGCGGGCCAGTGTTTGTATATGTTGCTTCCAAGTGATCGTGGAGTCGATTTCAATTCCCAATAAAGTTGCGGAACTAACAGTTTGTAAAGGTGTATTGTTGTGCTTATATGATATTTCCAATTCGTTTTTTTTAAATGGTCAAAATTGTATTAGTTTTGTTTTATTTATATTTAGTTGTAAATTATTCATTTGAAGCCGATGTGTCAATTTGTCAAGTATTAAATCTAGTTTTTCAGAATATTCAACTGTGTTGGAGCAAGAAGTTACGATAGATATGTCATCCGCAAAGAGAGTGCACTGATCTTTCAAAATGTTTGGGAGGTCATTTATGTATATTAAAAATAATGTACAACCTAGAACACTTCCTTGCGGTATAGAACCTTTGATAGGGATTGAATCAGATCTAATATTTTTTATTTCGTAGTCGTTGTTTTTTGCACTGTTGACCTCCACTAGCTGTTGTCTATTACTAAGATAAGATTTAAACCAATCATGAGCGATTCCACGGATTCCTGTTGCGTAAAGTTTATTTAAAAGAATTTTATAATTGACTCTATCATAAGCCTTGCTCATGTCAAGGAGTAGGCCGATTGCATATTTTCTATTATTTATAATATCTAGAATTTTTTGGAAATATTTATAGATAGCAAGAATAGTGGAACGGTTCTTTCTAAAACCGTTTTGACTATCGTCAAAAATTTTATATTTTTCATAAAAAGAAGTAAACGGTTTGTCATTGCGGTTTCAAAAATTTTTGAAGATGTTGGTAGAAGAGCGATAGGGCGATAAATATTTGGATTAGTTTTATCTCCTTTCTTAGAATAGGTTTTATTAAAGATATTTTGAGTGCATCTGGAAATATACCTTCTTTAAAAGACTGATTTATTAATTATGTAAACGGAATGGTTAAGTATTCGTTAAAGTTTTTTATCAATTTACGTGGAATACCGTCAATGCCGAAAGTGTTTTTATTTTTTAACCTTTGTATGATGTGAAACACTTCCCTTGGCTCAACGGGTAGCAGAAAGAAAGAGTTTTCCACATTTTTCATTGTGGTTTGGAGCTGAGGGGGCGGTACACGGTTATTATTTACAATATCAGAAAAAAATGAGTTGAAAGTATTTGCTACCGTTTTTGGGTTATCTATCAGTAAATTATTCATTTTTAGGTTGATGTTACCTTGGTTTCTACTCTGTTTTTTATTTGTCTCTGATTTTATGATATTCCACATTGTTCTAGTTTTGTTGTCAGCATTTCTATATTTACGGATGTTTTGAATTTTTTTAGATGTTTTCACAGTTTTTTTTTAGTTTTTGTATAATTTGTATAAAATGTCTGAATAATTTTATTATTTGTTTGTGAGCAAAGTCTTTTTAACTATCTCTTATTTCGACAATAATTTTTATACCAAACGTAAGATAGGATTTTTCTACTTTTGTTTTTATCTTTATTTGTTTAATGGGAATATATTTATTTAAAAGTATTTGTAATGTTTCTTGAAAAGAATAATAATTTTCATTTACACTTTGTTCATGTTTGATCACATGGTACCAGTTAATATTTCCAAGTGCTTGTTTAAAATTTTCGATATTGTTTTCGTTGAACAATCTGCTTGAAAATGAGAACTGTGGAGGATCTACTACTCTGAAAGGTGTAGATAATATGACACCTTTATGGTCTGAAAACCCAAATTCATTGACACTGACTTGACATTGTCTTTTTTTGAAGTTTACAAAGATTAAATCTAGGCATGTAGAGCTAGTGCTCGAAATTCTAGTTGACTCTTTAACTAGTTGGTAGAAATTAAATGTTAACATTAACGAAGTAGTTCCATTTTTTGTTTATTATTTTTGTTGAAGTTTACGTTAAAATCTCCGCCAAATATGATATTTTTGTGCTTGCATTTTTTTGATAATCTATTTAATAGTTGATCTAAGCTATTATAAAATACTTCTATTTCTGTGCCGCTATTTGGCCAATACAAATTAATTATTAGCATGTCAAATTTTGGAATTTCTACTGCACATATTTCGAAGATCATTTCTTTCGATAATGCTTCAATATCCTCCATCTTTTTATACTCTAACTCGTCTCTAAGTAGAATACAAACCCCCCTCCCTCATGAGATTTTCGGCAAAAAGACGCGTGATATTCAATAATTGTAGCTTTTCCTTGTTGAGCCATGTTTCTGTAGTATTATAACTCGTAAGTAACTCGTATTATAAAAAAACCTAACTGTCATTCTAAATTTTTCCAAGATTTTAAAATCGGATTCTTGAGAATAATTAATTGTCATGCTTCCCTATACGCTACCTTTCTGTATGCTATAATTTCAGGAAACCCTGTTCGCAAATGAACCCTAGACACGCCATAGTTGTTGTAGATAAATTAGTTTGCAGAAATTAGCTGCACGCGTAGTGTAGTTGCACTTTAAATTTTGTAGGCATGTGTAGGGATGTTTATATTGTGCCAAACAGTTGGTTGATGGAATGTTTTTTTCTGTGTTGGCATGTCCTCTTTACAAATTACTGTTAAAAGCTTTTCGTTGTTTAACCTAAAAGGCGCCACCTTTAAGCTTCAGATGGTTTATTTTTAATTTAAAGGCTTACTTTAAGTGATCTTTTTTATTACCGTGTGTATTTAGGATGTTTAAAACATAATTCACGGCAAAATCATTCAGTTTTGATTGTATGCGCTTTCTCTATTTACACAAGTCGCACTTCTATGACAATAGTGTTGTAACTCAAAATATGTGAAATTCAATATTATACCATTTCTGGACGTGAAATTTGTTTCTCTACACGTCAATAAAATTGTCGTTAGAATATTGTAAGAAACCATTAAAATATATCTACTTAACCCAGATTGAGACAAACGTTTTGTGAGCTACTTCTCAAAACAGCCTTTACTCAAAAATATGAAATTATTATTGACTTTTATTTTTAAACCGTCTTGTGACCTTTGTAACATAAATCGTCGTTTTGGCTTGACCCTTTCGACACCCACATTCATTTAATCCATGTGAATTGTCAATATCCTCATCAATATCGCCTAGTTCGGGGCCCAGACTCGGTCTAGTGGCGTTTCGCCCAAAATAACGCTACCACATGGCGCCCAAACAGGGACTTTTGCCTCCGACCTCCAAAACAAAAACATTTCACTTTTCCCATCAATCATTTTCAAAATTTTAAAATGTTTCAGATAGAGGCCGTGCACAAAAGCTCATAAAAATTTTGTAATGAATCCTTTTGCCTAAAATACAGAGATTGATTTTAAAATTATCAAACGCGCGGCAGTAGTGCTGCACAACCTACTAAAACTGAAATTAGACTGTTTGACTTGAGTACGCGTCTTATATTTAAGGCAAATCGCATGGCTCAAACTTTCCCTTTATTACACATAATTTACTATACATTATTATTATAGCTGACCAGAAAAATCCGAAACCTTCGAAAAATGGACTGCATAAGGTGGGACCCTGGCTGCCCGGCCAGAGTATAAATACCTATCGGCAGAGTCGTTCAACTAAAATTTACCGCCATCTTGGGCAGTTTTTACAGGAAGGTAAAAAAATCGAAATTCAAATAAACAAGATGGCCACCATACGAATTTCAGAGCCCTGTGGCTTGGCGAGTATCGCAGATAGGTGAGGGGTGCTCGACAAAATAGCATTGAGGGTTACGTGGGGCAACTGCCGGTGACAAAATTTTTTCAGGATTGCCGCCTCAAAATGGGGACCCAAAAAAAAGTACTCCGATCCAGCTGTTTTTTTTTTCTCAAATTAGGAAATATCCTGTAGTATGAATACCAGAATATCGATATCTCTGAGGGCTATACCCAGAATACCCAGACCAGAACCAATTTCGAAATGTTTGTTTCCTAAATTGGCCCAAATCGAGAGTCGCCCCGGGACCTCCCCACCGAGGGCCCATTGGACTAACCGCTGTGCCACCAAAGAGCATAAGCACACCCCGTAACGTAAATCCAACCACGCGTCTCAGGCCGAGCCCGACCCGTAGGTGGGGTAAAGAGGCTCATATATTATAATATTCGTAATGAAGCATAGATTTACCTGTTGACTGTTAACGCTGCCCTCCGTCTGGTCGAAGGGGGGCAGCACCGAGCAGAGCCGCCGGCCCATCAGCGAGTACGACACCACCACAATGCAGCCTGAAAAGTGGAGAAATCGTTTTAGATATAGAGAGAGCAACTACGTTACGTGACGTAATCTTCCTCAATGTAATTAAATATACAGTCATATAGAATCCTGTTTTATTTCTCATATTGTACTTAGTAACAAGAAAAAAATCCTCAAAGAATATACATAGCTTCGTTTTGGAACAATAATAAAAATAAATCAGAATCAATTATCAATCATATAATTCCTCTTCGGCACGGGTCTCCTCTAAATCTCTAAATTCTGTTAACAAGTTAATACTACAACAAACAATTTCAGTTATCATAAGCAAACTTTAAAAAAAATTCGACCAACTTCAAAAACCACAACAAGTCAATGCACTAAAATCGAAAGATAACAAAATACAGATTTAATTAAAATGACAACAGTGGACGTAATAATTATTATTTCGTACTCAGTATTATTAATCAATCTATCCACATTTATTGTTTATTTATACAATTACAACGTGACAATTCTCTTTCAAACAAAAAGGAATTTTCAAAATCTGTCCACAATTAACGGAAAAGCCGATGAACATACTATATATGCCTATATAATTTGAGGATTTCGCTCGATTTCCATGAGATCTCCTCATCAAATTCTGACTTGGTGACAATGAAACCATCTCGAGAGTATACCCTTTCAAACAAAAAAAGACTTCAAAATTGGTCCACAATTGACGGAGAAATAGGTGATCTTACATAAAACATACATACAGCCCATCATATAACCTCCTCTTTTTTTAAGTCGGTTAAAAATGGTTTTATGTTATAAGACATCATTGAAACATCATCATTGAATCGACATCCATTTTTAAGGTAACGAAAAAAGATTGAAACTCGGTAAAATTTCCGGACCCGAATCAGTTTCCTTAGCGACTTATTTTGAGTTGAAATTCACAGATTACACACACACAACATTTGCTTGCGCCTATTACTCATCTATCGTCATGGGCATAAGAATCTTGGAAATTCTAAGTTTAATTGTCAATCGGATCTCGGTCTTAAACCATTTTATTTTATTTACCTTGTATCATTTTCAAATTATCGACAAATATGACAAAAAATCCATGCCACGTAATTTATATGGATGTCTAACGTCAATTTGTCGAAAATATAAAATTGTACCTCAAAATTATCCCAATGTTGCACAGCAACTATAAGATAGGTGTAATTAAGATAAAAACAATACCAGTGAATCCTGTATATATGTAATGCTCCAATAGAAATTGGAGAATTAGAAAATCATATTCGCCACTTCTATATGTACGTAACAAAATTGCGTACAAAAATAAGTAAATTATGATCTTTGGAACCAAATTACACTCAAATTCGTAAAGTTATTGACTAAGAATATTGTTTTACTATCGACAACGCGGAAACAAAAACACTTATAAGAAAGCCGCCACGAGGATATCTTCTAAAACTGAAGTAGAAATAATAAGTGATGTTCTCAATCCACTACGGAATGGAGTATCCTTAGCCTTGGTAATCATTTCACGTGAACAGATTAACAATAGCAGTTTGGCGAGAAATTGTATTATGTATTTTTGTATGCCTTTTGTATAAATAAATAAAAAATAAAAAAAAAAAATCACATAATGTCGGTTAAAACACACTGTAGCCGACGGCACAACCTAGGATGAATAGCAGAATAGTATATGTTTTATCGAGGAACTAAAACGAGCCAATATATAACCGAGGTGGTCAGACACTCGAGCTTTAGGGAGTGTTTATTAAGTTACTATTATACGTATTTTTTTTTCCAACCAGACACAGACACAACAAACGCAACAAAACGCTACGATTATCATGCCTTTGGTAATCATGAGCGTATTTCGAACGATTTAAGTGTTACATCGTGTCACTGCAATGGTCCACACACAAACGCAGTAACACGGGAACAATAATATGGCCCCACACTCTATGTTGAAAAGGCACGGAACTAAAACCGAGCGTACGCTTAGAACGTAACATTTTCATAATGAAAATGGTCCACACACAAGCACTTTTTTTATTGAATTTCCGCATCGCAGCGATCTTTGGGAAACTGTAGGTTTATTTACTTTGATAAGTCGTTGTTGATTATTATAATGTCAAATTATAATAATCTTTTTGTTTTTGTGATTATTTTTAAATGTTGTTTTACTTGTAATTATATTGTTTCACTTATTGAACTTTTACCTTTTGGCAGACACTAGAGCAAGTATTCTGTTTAAGTTTCTTTGGGTCACTTGAGGTAAATTAAAAAACTAGGTACCTACTTTTTACTCTCTAAGGTTTAAATAATGATCTTTACTACGTAAAAGCTACGTAAAAGGCTACATTGACGTATGTTTGGAGCACGAGAAGTGAATTTAGTAGTCTATGTAAACGAGAAATGGTTTGAAATGGTTTTATATGGTAAAACAACAAAGTAGGTATAGGCATCCGTTCTTCTCATTGAAGCTCCAGTGCAAAAATGCGATTTACGTGGCATGCCTTTACTGATGTTACGAAGTTGGTTAATTTTAAACAAAAAAGAAACATTGTCAACTTCATCAGTAAAATAAATCAGCAAAAAGCGGATGCGGTTCACTCGACACGACAACAAATGACGTGTTTGGTCAAAATAACTCACAAGATATTTAATCATTTATCGTATTAAAACGTAATTATGAAACGTTCTATTCTATTCTATATAAGCATCTATTGGTTCATATCACAACTTTCAATCTAATAATCTAATGGCATATCATAGTTACATTGTATGAACATTTCAGATACATTTATTAATTAACTTATTATTATTATATAGATAACTTTGATAAAGGAAATAATAGTAAAATATGGTTTTTATTCCAAAAACATAGATTTAACGTGAAAAGTAATCTTATACGAGTAGAACAGAAGATACTTTCTTTAGGTTTGGTTGGAATCGGTGCGAGCCCAACGAGCGAAGCGAGTGTGTTGCGGTTGGACCGGGGCGCAGCGAAGTGACAATACGAAATTTCGATGTGCGAATGATGTGCAATCTTCATTGACTTTTTTTAACATATAAAATTTATATTATACTAGCACAATTTATACCATCACTTCATTATTATTAGCTAATTATTTGACCCGACTCAACTACCTGGTACCTATACAGAAGGTTTATTATACACATTAAAAATTATGCCCTTCGTTGTTATATCACTCGATAATTAATAATATCTCATTAGTAGTTATATCCTTTGAAATTATAGTAAATATCGTTATACCTCAGTGTAAGTGAAAATAGATAACTTGCTTGTTGTTATATCAATGCTTACATTACATTTACAATAATTATGTAACAGTGAAAACAAAAAGCAAATGAAACATGGAATATTTATTGTATCCCAATTTACATTGCTTTGGAACCGAATTGAAGAGAATTTTTGTAATCATAATGAATTTTATGCCAATTGTATAACGTACAAATTAGACCTCGTCTTCCGAAGAATTGTCGCGCAGTCTCGGAAATGCCCGCAGCTACCGAATATACCTAGGCAATACACTCAATGCTTATTATGCGCTGGTTACTAAAATTGGCTTGTATTCTGTTTCGCGGCAAAATAAATTGAGCCTTCGTATGACGAATGTATGTCGAATGTGCGACATAAAAGAAGAATATTTTCACGCATCGCCAACTTTTGAACGGCACCGTGGTATTTGTTTACTTCATTTCTTTTATTACATATCTGTTATTGGATTTCTTTTTTCTGTGAGATTTCCATCGTTATGTATTATAATAGCATACTGTTATATTCGATTGAGTTCGACAGTTGATTTTATCCTCCCGCTGCCCCCGCGGCGGAGAGGTGTCCTAGGAGGATATCCCCACGCAAAAAAAGGCTACCGTGGGAGAACGTTTGCTCCTTAATCAAAATCGACAGTTCGAATCAAAGCAGCATATACCTCTTACTTCCGAGTTCCGCACATTGTAAATGTTTTCTAGCCCCTCGTGATGTCGACCCCAAGTGTCCCACTACTCTTAGAGGTGGTAAGTATGGTGCCCTGAAGCATTAGCGCTGTCGCTAATGGGCTATTTTTAGCGGCTGACGCGCAGACAATCTTCATAGGGTTAAATTGAACAATGTATTGTCGGCGCCATTCAGAGGTTTGCTCCAAAGATGTTTCGATTTTGGACACAAGTTGCAGTAGTTGCCTAAATCCTCTCCTTAGAAGAGACGCTGACCCAGCAGTGGAATGTACAGTGAGTTGGTGTTAATGATGATGACATGGTTGCAAAGTCCACTAAAGTAGAGTTTGTATAAGTTTGTATAAGTAGGATTTGAACACGCAGATTCTTAAAAGATTGAGTACCCAAGGAGCACACTTTATACGCCTCAAAACTATAAACAGTCGTAATATGGTATAGGTTTAGATAATAGTCTACTCTATAAATGGTTTTAGAAAAAAGAAATTGTTCTTATAGACTTATATTTCCAGTAAAGCCTATTAATACTTTAAAAACTAATGTTCTTAAGTTTATTCTAGATATATTTCATTTATAGACATTCTGTAGTGTTTAAACTTATTAACAAACACGATATAGCGCGTCTTCAGTAGATTTTATGTAAAAAAACACTATAAATAGGGTTTCCACTCTATTGGACGTTGTACGTTCATGCAAAATGGATAAAATAAAGAATATTAAAAGATCTGGTGCAGGTGGTGAACCTTGGATATTATGTCTAGAGATGAGATTAACTGCCATATTCGCATAACACGCTAAATGCTAAATTTTTATAGCGCGTTATAGTCTATCTATAGAATAGTCTACAGTTTTTTACGGTTAGTTACGACTGGCTTCATTTGTTTTGTAACTTAAGCTGGTAAACTTTGTAAGGTTATAGAAGATAAATCAACGAGCTTCCCTTCATACTTAAACAATTTACTATTTACAATTTGCACAAAACTTTACACTGGTTATTTACAGTAAATTTCACTCATAATAATTCTTTTTCCTACTACTTTTATATACAAATATTACAATAACTTAGTAATTAAACAAACGCTAAACTAATTAAATAAATCTAAGTAATTATATCTTAATTTAAATCGCTTCACCAAACTAAATTTTGTTACCGTTCCACCATTAGGTCAATATCGTATCAAAAGATAACCAAAATTATAATTTATAACATAACTACAACTAACATCAATAAACCAATCAGCTTTTTCGCGTTTCGCACCAAATGTTACATGTTACAAATAATATGTGAAAGTATTTCACGTTTTAATTGTTTCAACCAATGACAAGAGCCACAATTTGATATTAATTAGCTCCCCATTTCACATAGAATATAGTGCCATCTATGAAATATTAAGGGAGATAACCCAGGACGAAGAAGGATTTTGTTTATTAGCTGCACAAGTAAAGCGGCAATCGATGTCGCTAGATGGCATTTAATTTAATTTTCTTAACGTACTCCTATCCAAAGTAGCGATGGGACGAGTTGTATTTGTTACAACTCGAGTTACTGGAGTTGACTTGACTGTTAACTCGAGTTGCAACCCAAGTTAAGTCCACTCGGTGTTTGACAGAGCAACCGCTAGTCGAACTCGAACCGACGATCACCGAGTCGGATACGATCGACCGGCCGACCGCGGATCGAGCGCGACCGAAGGTCACCGAACCGAACGAGCTAGCTCGAGTTCACAAAGTGTAGCTCGAGTTGACTCGTTGTGGGAGTAACTCGAATTAAATAAGTCGACTCGCCCATCACTCGCGACTCGCGTGCGTGCCCTGAAGGTCACCGACGCATAGTGAGCCCAAATTGATAATTTTTGGACATAGGAATAATAGCTAATTTTTTTTTATATGATAGATAATAACATTCCTAACAACTTTTATTCTTGTAAAATTTCTTGAAAAGTTGATAGTTTCGGAGAAAAAAAATTATTTTTTTGTATGGAGAAATATACATTTTATATTTTATTTCTTAATGTAGGAAAATGTAATGAGTGTGATTCATTTAAAAATTATCTCGGTTCTCCACAAGTTATTCCTATGTCCAAGAATTATCAATTTGGGCCCACTGTGCGACGCGCTGAATGAATGAAGTATTTGGTTCGGCGGCGGGCGGAGCGAGTCAACCGAGTTAGCTCGAGTTCATGGAAAAGTAACGCGAGTTGGCTCGTTATAGGAGTAACTCGAGTTAACCGAGTTAGAGAACTCGACTCGCCCATCGTTAATCCAAAGTGAAAAAAGTACGTTATAATTTGTTTGTTGACAAATAAATAAACATTGTGAAGTAATTCCGTGTTCTGAAGTGATAAAAACAATTAAAATGAGCGCGTAAACTACTGTACGTCCATGTTATGTGTGTGTATATTGTGCTGTCTATCAATAGAATACTGTGAAATCATTGTGGGAAATGTGGTTGGCGTGAAGAAATAATCTCAATATTCTAATGAATTTTTTTTTTTAATTTATTTTATTGTTTTAAGAAAAAAGTATACATAAATAATGTAAAACACCGTTAAACCCTACTTGGGTTTGTCTCGATGCCATCAAATTTCTTCCAATATAAGTTAGGTATGTCATTGAAATATACCTTATGTGATAGGGAATTTATCCACCTTTCTAGTCATATATAACACATTTCATATAATTATGCAGAATAACGTTTTTTGCGACAAATTGGATATTTCAAATTTTTTTTTAAAAAGCTTTACATTCTTATCGCCATTTTTATTTTTATTGAATGACTATGAAATAGCCGAGAAAAGTTTATTTTCTTTTAAAAAAGTAAATCTAAATTGAAATTAGCTTGAAGAAGCCTAGAACTTCATGGAAATGGTTTGTTTTGTGAGTTATTTTTATATTTAAGCTTTCTATAAATATTTAAAACCAAATATCGATAACTTTATTTTTATTAAGTTTATATTTATACATAAAAAATGTTTAAAATTTAGCGAGCGCATTACTTTTATGGCGGGTTTTACATCACTTTCACAATGTATTTAAAGTAGCACGTCAATTCGCGCTTTCTAAACGATTAAACATTGCGCGAAAAAAAACAGAAATATTATATCTAATTTCGCCATGTTGCAATTTTGATGGTTTATGTTTTGTAAGCATTTGATTGTAAGTCAATGTTTGTAAGCCATTAAACTTGAAATCTATTAGTATTAAGAGAATTGCGTCCTATGTTTGTAACACTTTAGTATTTTGCTTTTAAAATAGCATAGCAAGAAAACTATCATAAACTATAAATTATCTAAAAACTGTCTAGAAGACTAAATAAAAACTGTCTACATTCTACAAATGGTCTTGTAGTATTCTAGAAGGGTTACTTGAGAAAAAAGATAAGAATCACTCTTAACACTACCTACAGATAGTTTCTCAGAGCACTCTTGTGATCTACTAATAAAGTTGTGCCCACTTTTACTTTAAATTATCTAGAAACCTTCTTCGAGATATCTTGAGGGAATTTGAACTCTTAAAATATTCAATCGAATTAAATTCTATTAGATACTTTATAGTATATATTTAGATATAGGTGTGCTGCTTTGGTAGGTATGATTATGGACGTTAGATGGTGTTGACAACGGTAGGTACTACAACAATGTTTTTTTGATGGAAGAAAAATGGTTTGATAAAAGCAGTAGGTATAAATTGCCAGCTCTAACCACATGAAATAGCCAAAGTTAGTAAACAGATATTCTTACGTCTGCTGCTATTGGTATTATTCAATCTGTTCTCGAGAAAGTCTCACAACCAACCCTCAAAGAATATCGACGCAACCTTTATTTAAATGGAATTAAGGTTTTGTACAACAAGAACCCATTATTTACTCGTACTTCATAACAACGGTTCTCTCGGACCGGTTTATAATCCGTAAACAAGACGCAAATTTGTTTGTTGCACTGATTTGGAACTTGGTTGTATTTTTTTGTGTTTAACATTTTCAGCTGCAGCTTTTATAAGATGTTTTTTTTATTTGTATTTTGTTTACAATGGATGACGAAGACTGTTTACCATATAGCGCGGTCCTCCTACCACAAAATGGCGGCTATTTGGTTTCGCTAATTAGAATGCTTTTTCAGTTTAAATACAAGTTTTTATAAATAAAAATTATTATTCTGCATTGCTAAATAAATACCCTCCGTACTACCAACAAAAACATCTTAAATAAAATGTAGTAATACACCGCAAATCCCGCACTTAAAAAGAACTAATGAAATTTTTGGTGTACTTGGATAAATATGACAATATTCCGTTTGAGTGGTTCTAAAGTTTACCAAGAAATTACTCCTTAAAGTATAGTTTATAAACATTTATATTCAGGGTATACTTAAAAAACGCTACTTACGGTATGTTTTCAATAAATAAACACCGAAATCACCAGCCCAAACAATAACACACACGATTGTCGTGACGTATTTTTGAAATTGTTTATTTTTTTAAATGACAGACCCAGGCATTAACAACTTTATGGTTTGCTAGAGTAGTTACCGAAATAGCAATTAATATTAGTTATTTTGCCTGCTACATATCGCGTGAGCGGCTAGGCAACGTTGAGAATGTTTGTACACCGTTACTCCTATATCATTTACTACTACTATATTGTTGTACCCTATTGCTGGACATAGATCATTCCAAAAGTACTTTGTACAAAATGGGCAAACCATTTCTTTAAAAAATAATTAGGGTAAAACAGAGTTAAGATCGTAAAATTTATGAATGAATATTAAAAACAAAACTTATAAAAGTCGCTAAGTATTCAGCATTCAGTGCTCTCCAATGAATGAGATTGTTTATGCCTCATATGGCAGCCTATTATCATCAACAAATCAATCATTTATTTACTTATTTATTTATTATTGCTGCATGTACAATTTGTGTAAAGTTGATCTTAATAACTATGACAGTGACAGTACATGGACCCTGTTCGGGCATTGCAATTTAATGTTTGAATTTATAGTAATTTATATTCAACCATCAACGGCAGATGAGTGAAGTATTGTCTGGTCCCTCGATATCCACGACAAAACAAATGGTTTTATCGGCAAATAGTGTTTACCGCTACGAGAAAACGTGATTATTTATTTAGTAACTTACAAAAGGTAATAAAATAATTTGGTCAAGTGTCAATACCTAACTTTAATTCAATCTACTGAGTATTTCTGGTATTACCGCGGCGGCGGCGGCGGCCCTTTTGTGATATTTTATTATCTAATTAATTGATTCGATAAGGGTTCATATTATTGAGACTTTTTTATATCGATACAAACTTAATAAACGAATTTTTAAATATTTAATAAACGTTTAAAATTTTAAGACTCCAAAAGGCTTCTTCAACACCTTAAATGTATTAAACAAGTAAAGCAAGCTTACAGTCTCACCTGGTATGGCGTAAACGAGGATAAAGCTGAAAGCTCCGTAAAGCTCCTTCTTGATAGAGTCGGGCCATGTCTCTGTGCAGAATTCGACACCTCGTTCAACCCACAACTGTAATTTAAAAAAAAATTAACAACCGCAACGGACATAATTGAATGAAACGAAATTCTCATATTATTAAAAAGGATGGACGTAGATGGTAGAGTGAAATACGTTGATTTAAAGAGACATGTTTATTGTTCGGTCTCCAGAATATAAGTGAGTAAATAATACAATATAAAATAAAATGTAAACTTAAATGCTAACCAAGCAATACGCACCACATGTTGCAGTTATACTATAAATATAGTCTATCTATACTACATTATAGGGGTTCCAGAGAAAAAAAATGTGTTGCGTGTTACTTGTTAAAACACATTTTTTTTTTAAACTTAATTACAACAAAAATTCTTAATAATTACTTAACAGTCCAACAAAAGTTTACTAATTAATTTACAAACAATTTAGTATTATTCTTATGTGTTATATATTCTTTGCCATCTTTCAAAATTTTTACATTTGGTGATAAATCTTCAATAACGATATATGGTCCTAAATAAATGTTATCTAGTTTACTTCCTACTTGGTTTTTCAACAAAATTAAATCATCTTTCTTATATTTTACAGTATTTATATGTTTATCGTAATTTATCTTTCTTAAACTTTTCCCATCTTATAAATTATTTCTAGCGTCGGCCTGTGCTCGTTGTAACCTGTATCTTAGTTGTAAAGGATAAGCATCAGGATTATATAAAGGTTCTACATCAGAACACAACAAATTATTTTGCAGATTACAAAGTTTTCCAAACACTAGTTCGTATGAAGTGTATTGTGTCTCGGTATGCACGGTTGTATTATATATGAAAAACACCAAAATGGTAGCCAAGTGCTCCAGTCAGTCGAATTATTACTACACTGTATCCTAAGAAACGCTCCTAAACTTTTATGTGTATTCTCTAACGAACCTATAGTTTCGTGGTGATACGCGGTCGAGTGAAGTTTGTTAATTTTTAACAATTCACATACTTCAACCATAACTGACGGCATGAACTCTGTGCCTTGGTCCGTAATTATCTCTTTTGGGATACCATATCTCAATATAAAATTATTTACAAATAAACTAGCAACTGACACAGTATCCTTTTTTTCTAGCGGATACGCTTCTACATATTTGGTTAAGTTACATTGCAAAGTTAAAATATATTTACTATTATAATTATCAATATCTAACGGTCCCATTAAATCTAAACTAACCCTTTCAAACGCTGTACTAGGAGTAGTTGTAATAACCATCGGTTCCCCAGTATGCCTGTTCGAGTGTTTCTGAATTTGACAACTCTTACACTTTCTTACGAATTCTGTGACGTCATTAGTAATTCCTGGCCAGTAGTAATATTTCTTAATATTATTCAGCATCCTATTTACCCCCGCGTGGCCACTGGTGGGTAATAGATGAAAGTCATTCAATATTACAATTTTAGTATCTTTTTCAGTTACTGTTACTACGTCATTCAATACTAATACCTTAGGAAAATCACTTAGCTTATTAATTTCCTTTAATAATATATTTATAAAATCTTTATCACGCTTTCTTTTTATAATAACGAGCTCGTTTAATTTTATTTCTTTACAAAAATCTTGTAATTCTCTCGCTAACACACTTACGGTAGATAACGATCGAGACATTACATAAATATCCGATTTATCGGGCACAAACACAAAAGAACTATTTTTACTATACAAGTTCTGTAAATTCACTATCTGCTTCATTGCTGTCTTATTTGCGCTTAATACTAGTTCTACGCTGTCAGTCGGTCGTTTGAGAATTTCCACTACTTTAGGTTGATCAGGCCTAGAAGCGGTGTGATTCTCACGTGTCAAGTCAATAATATTGTCATTCTTAATTTTTCGAGCTTGTGCTCTTGTCATGACCGATACAACATGCTCATGCATATCTTTCAATTCCTTAGAGTTCATCGGTATGCGGCTCAATGCATCTGCAGCTGCGTTGTGCCGTCCCGGAACATAACTGATATCAAAATCATACTCTTCCAAATAAAGTCTAAACTTTGTTAAACGGCTTGATGGATCGGTCATATTAAATAAATAAATCAAAGGCCTATGGTCAGTTTTTATTTGAAACTTCTTGCCATATAAATAGGGCCTAAAATGCCGTACAGCCCACACAATAGCCAGTAGTTCGAGTTCGATGACTGGGTATCGTGTTTCAGCTGGTCTTAGATTACGACTTGCGTACGCTACTACCTTGCCATTACTATTAGACAAAACGGCGCCTAAACCTAGCTTTGATGCGTCTGTTTGTAAAACAAACGTATTACCTTCTGAGAAGTCTGGATAATCTAAGATGGTAGGACTAAGTAGGATTTCTTTAAGTTTTTGGAAAGCCTTTTCACATTCAGTTGACCAGTTAAAAGAGACATTTTTCTTACATAATGCATTAAGTGGATGTGCTATTTCTGCGAAATTAGGTATAAATCTCCTGTAATAGTTAGCAAACGCTACAAATCGTTTAATATCATCTACACATATTGGAACAGGATATTTCTGTAAAACATCTATTTTCGATGGGTCGGGAAAAATTCCATCTGAAGTTATTTTGTGGCCTAAATAAATAATTTCTTTTTGCAAAAATTCACACTTTAATGGGTTTAATTTCAAGTTAACTTGTCTAAATCTTTCCAGTACTTTAACTAAATTTTTGTTATGGGTTTCAAGACTGTTACCAACTACAATACAGTCATCTAAATAAATTAGACATGCCTGATAGTTCAAACCCGTCATGGCTATAGTCATCAGTCGTGTGAAAGAACTAGGAGATGTTTTTAATCCCATTGGGCATCTCTTCATTTGATATTGTTTGTCAGTTGTAAAAGCTGTGTATTTCCTAGATTGTTTTTCTAAGGACAACTGATAATAACCTCGTGATAAATCTAATTTAGAAAAATATACGTTATTTGCCAAAGAATCTAGAATGTCAGTTATATTCGGTAAAGGGAATTTATCGTCCTGTATTACGTTGTTTAAGTGACGATAATCCACAACTAATCTCCATTTTTTCTCTCCTGATCTATCTGTCTTTTTGGGAACTAACAAAACTGGACTTGACCACTCTGATGTGGTTTCCTCAATAATATCATTCTTTAGCATATCGTCTACTTGTTTCTGTATTTCACCTTTAAGTGCCTTAGGTAGCCTATAAGGCTTGGTATACACTAGTGAAGTATTGTCTTTTAATTTTATGGAATGTTCATATAAGTTGGTAGTAGACAATGTATCGCCTGGTAAATGAAAAACGTCGGCGTATTTAGCGCACACGTTTTCTATACTTATCTGCTCCTCTTCATTTAAATAAGAAGGCAAGTCAAGTAAATTAAAAAGTTGTCTGATTCTATCTGGCGATATCTTCTCATCATCAAATTGGTATACGTTATAATGGTTTAAACTATGAATATCTACATCTTTAATATCTACTCTGACTGGTTTGTCAGTCGTATTGAGCATGCGAATTGGAATAAGTCCATACTTTGGTTTCACAATTACTCCCGCTGTGTACACACCTTTATGTACTTGTTTTGCTAAGACAACGCATTCACTGATGTGTGCCGTAGGTACGTGTCGAATTACTTCACATCGTGGAGGAATTATTATTTGATTTTTATCAAACTGAACAGTTACGTAGTGGTCCTGGTTTTCCAAACTCAATGTACCATCTTTGTAACTCAACACTGCTTTATACTTTTGGAAAAAATCTTGGCCGAGTATCCCGTCTGCGGCGCAAGCTAAGTTCTTGAAAACATAGAACTTTTGTTTAAAAATTACCCCTTCAAGGTTTATATCTAAGTAAATATAACCTTCTGATTCTAAATTACCACTTATCCCCTTAATTAAAATACTATCTTTCCTAATCAACTTAAGTAACTCAATATTATGTGCTAGTCGTTCATATTTTATTACGCATAAGCTGGCTCCACTATCAATTAACAAGTTCAATTTCTCATTATTTCCTAAATATGACATTACTGTAAAGAAATTATTATGACTAAAAATATTATGAGTGCACTGTTTAGGCACGAAAAAATTTGCTATTCT